GACTTTGTCTGTTTGCCCCTCTCAGTTTGGGGGCTTGACATTATTTTAAAAGAGGCCCCCTTTATTTGAACTTAGTCTCCACCTTAAATATGTTAATTAAATCTTAAATCATTTTGATTTAGGAAGCCTTATTTCTAATGGGAGCCAGAAGACAGCTGAGTTAATATTAGAATGGGTCAGGAAGGAGAGCGAAATGGGAAGGATGATGGGGAAAATACTCTTTTAAATAATTAATCTGATGTCAATACCCCTCCCTCCACTTCTTTTTTTAAAAATTTTTAATTTTTTCCTTTTTTTAAAACTTCAACTTCTCAATATACATTGTAGTTGATTTTTGTGTCCCTTTACCTGTTCCTCTTCCCCCACCCTCCACTTCTGATCCCTGTCTCTCTGCTCTACTTTTTCTTTTCCGTAGTGTTTGTTACCATTTAACAAGCTACATAACGACACATTTACCTGTTTAATTTGTTTGTCATCTATTGACTATCTTGCTTCCTGCTTGAACACAAGCTCCACCATGGCAGGGATAGTTTTCTCTTTTGTTTACTGATGAATCCCAAGTGTCCAGAACAGTGCTTGGCACATAACAGGTGCTCAGGAAATATTTGCTGATTCTTTGCACCCATTCCCTCCCTGCTCCAGGGCCCCCAATTCCTTGCTTCCTGAGTTTTCAGTCAGTTGGGAAGATCAAGTGCAATGCCACCCTTACAGCTTTGACTCTGGAACAGTTTAGATATTTTTCAGCCCTGGTATTCCTTCACGCGGGAAAGGAGCAGTCTGCACGCATGCACGTGTGTGCATGTTTGATGTTCACAGCCATTCTGTGAGACTGGTATTTTCTTATACCCATTTACAGATGAAGAAACAGAAATTCCATTCATTCATTCATTAAAAAAATTATTTTTGGGTACTCTGTACTAAGTGCTGGTTATAGAGAGTTGAATCAAAGAGGCCCAGCTTCAGCCGTAAGGACTTTGCTCAAGGTCACAGAGCTAGTCAGCTGCAGGAGGGCATTCTACTTCCCAGCCCAGGGCTCTTCCTACGACACCACAGCTCTGCACATGTGCGTAGGACCCTATGATGTCCAGTTAAGCGGGGTCTCTGCAGAGATAGGTAGGTATACATGGATACAAGAAGGAGCATACAGAAGGAGGCCTTCCCAGGGAGGACTCAGGGTTTAGGTACATAGCTAAGTCTAGAATCCCAGAGCTGGATAGGAATTTGAGAGGTCCCATCTCCCAGCCTCAAAGTGAGATGTCATCTAAACCACCCTTATTCGCTACCTTCTATGACTTAGTCACTATACAAATCCTGACTCTAGAGGGAGATGACCCATTTTCCTAAAATAGTTGTTGCAGCACGTTGAACTCTGTACTATAGAAGTCACGGCCTTTGGGGAGCTGGACAGTTGTTAGAGATCATCTACTTTATCATCATCTCTCATTTTATAGGTGAAGAAACTGAGACCCAGAGATGTTGTGTAACAGGGCCAAGATCACACAGCCGGTTAGTGGTAGGACCAAACTTATTGCCTCTAAGTCTGCGGCTCTTGCCATGATACCGTGATTCCTGAGATGTTCCGCGGGCAGAGAGACACCTGTCTTGACCTGGGCTGAGTCAAGCCCTGGTCCTCGGCAGCTGGCAGCCTGACCATTAACCTGGACTCCCATGAACCGGGGCTCCCCCGTCTTTGCTTCTCTCAGCTTGCAAGCTCAACCCCTTCCCATCTCCCCCTCCTCATTCTATAGCTGCCTCCCTCTGCCTCCTGGGGTAGCGCATGCTCAGCTCAGTGTTGCTCCTTGCCTGATTGCATCTGAGAGCTGGAGACACCGTGCTAATTAATGTGTCTATGACTAGGCTTGGCTGTTGGGCTGAGTCCTCTTGCCCTCTCCAGAGCCCGGCAGTCTCTGCTAGCTGGCCCTCTGGCTTCTCCAAGCACACTGCCCGCAGATGCATATTTTAACAACATCTGCTGGCTATATAATCTCCTGTATTTACCCTCCTCACTGGTGATGTGATGGAAGACCCCCAGGGGCTTCCCTCTGTTCCAGCCAAAGTGTTTGCTTTGCAATTTTGCTGGGATTCTGCTCTTGCATCTTCTGCAGGTTCTAATCAGGCTCTTACTTTATTTAATTAAAAATCTATCTCAGGCAAATACAGACTAAATCAGGAAGCTTTCTCATTCCTGTAACACAGGATGGCAGCCCCCCTTGGGGAACTGGCTGGGACATTTTCCTGGGCTGAGATGTCACAGCAAAGCAAATGGTCTTGCTTGGGGAGGCAGCTGGGCCAGGGTGCAGAAGCACCTCTCTCCCCTCTGCAGGGACAGCTGCTCTGTCCATCTACTGCCCACAGACCAGGGCTCCCTTTCTGGCTGGCTAGGCTGGCTTCCACACTTGGGGCCTCCCTCTGGGGTAGTAGCTGGGGCTCTACACCAGGAGAAACTCAGCCAGGCAGAGCCTACAGGACCAGTGGCGGGAAGTAGTTGGAGGTGCTGGGCATGGGATGCATGGGGGGTGCTGGGGGTGGGACCTATAGGACTGGTGGAGAGACCTACAGGACTGGTCTGGGAATGGGGCCCTAGAGGGGACCCAAGGAGTCAGGTATGACTGTAGGCAGAGTCTGGGGAAGCTATCTCTTGCCTGGGGTTTAGTTTGCTTAGGATGAATGTTTTCTGTGGAGACTGCAGGAAAGGCTGATGGACAAGGTTCCTAGATCCCTTGCTGGCTCTCAGGAATTCCACTGAGGGGACCCTATTGGGGCCCCTTGGAGACTCCCCCTTCCCCCTCTTCAGCTGATCTCCAGATTTGAATAAAATATCTCCCCTACACAAACCCAGCTCTGTGCCCAGAGGGCAGTGCCAGGCCATATCACGAGGGGGGGGGGAGTGACTTTTTTGATGTGACCCAAGACAAAATCATGTCTGTTCAGATCAGATCCCAAGACCCTGCTCTGAGAAGGCTGGCTTCTAACCAGCCAGGCAGATGAGATTCTGCTGGCATTTGGGAACAGGAGACTGGGCAAAGAGCATTGGCTTGGAGTTGGAAAATCTGGAGTTGAATTTGAATGTTAATTAAGCTGTGTGACATCCCGTGAGTGCCTTTGCCTCTCTGAGTCTCTCAACATCCTTATCTGTAAAACATGTGGAATAATTTGGAATTTTATTACTTTGGACTTTGTTGTCTAACTGAGATGGCAGAGAGGAAGGCAGCATAAGTGGTCAGGTATGACTAATGAAGCCGACACACTTCAAGGACAGGACGTGTCTCCATCTATGTCTGGTCCCATGTGAAGTCAGACAAGTGGACAGTACTTTCCTCTCACTCTAGCACTCTCTGACCCTCGCTAGAAGGTACAAGGCAGCAGAGGCAGACTCTTCTGAGGATGGGGGCTGAATCATCTCTGAAGATGAAGATCCTACAACTTTGTTTAGCAAATCTGTTCTGACATTTTGCAACCCTCAAAATCAGAAAAAACAGTAGATTCCTTCCTCCCTCAACCCCCATGCCAAGTTGTAGACCATTCCTGTTTTAGCCACCATCTCAGGGGAAAAGAGATCGGCCCTGCACCCTCTCCTAGCCCTGATGACTCCTCTGAAGGCCCGCTTCCCATCCAAGTAGTCCCAGCTTATTGACCCTGCCTGACCAGGTTTCCTTTCTCCTTTCACTGCAGGTCAGAGGAGACTCAAGGGTTGAAGGAGGTTTCTGATGTTGGCCCTGAGTTCCTCCTCCCTGTCCCAAGAAGGCAATCTCCGAGCTTGGTAAGTGATCCTCCGGGGCCTGTCTGCTGCAGTGCTTGGAATAATCTGCCCCGTGCGCTTGGCCGTGTAGATCTGAAGATAACCTGACACGCTCTTAAATATTTCATCTCTGAGCAGCCGTGTGCCTTTTCTAGCAGGCGAGGGGCAGCACCCCAGCTGCTGAGCTGTTGTCAAACCTCCACGACAGCTGCTGAGAGGCGGGCTGGCCAGGCTGGGACTTCCCTCGTCTGGCGGCTGCTGCTTGATCCCACATGACTGCCTGGCAGACACTCACGCATAAGGAGGCAGAGAGCTGGTGCAAGGAGCCCAGCCGGGAGACCCTGGCCAGGGCTCTGCATCTCAGAGCCTCGGGTCTCATCTGGGGTGCCAATCCCTGTCCCACAGAGTTGCATCAGCAACAACTGACATAATGTGTAGGAAAGAGCTTCAAAAGTTGCTGGTGTGAGCTATTGCTACCTATGTGCAAGGCCTGGTCCCCGGAGGCCCTGATCCTCAGTAACATCTGGCCAGAGGAGGGAGACGACTGGGGCTGGACTCTAAATCAGGCCTAGGCAGTTTAGGAGATCACTGAGCCCGTTCCCTTGTCTTCAGGCAGGTCTGCCTGAATGAAGGAGTGGGGACCTCATCAGGCAGGATGTCCCAGGGACATCGGGCTCCTGGGATGCTGAGATGAAGACCAAAGAGCAAAGGTATGATTTGGAATAAGGGCCTGAAATGAATTTTCCTAGGAAGGACCTGAGAGTGAGGATTCCCAGTCAGTAGTGAGGGGTGGGGAAGAAACAGGGTCACTGGTAATCTCTATGGATATTGAAATCGTGGGGAGAATCAAGCAGAGGAGGTGGACAGGGCTTTGTTAGCACCTGGAGGAGGTCAGTTCAGAATGAAGGGATTCGTGGACCCTGCCGCATCCTCCCCTGTATCCCCATTGCTTGGCCTAGACCATGTGTGCAGAGCATGCTTCAGATCGAATACACAGCCCCCCAGGAGCCCTCAGCAGCCCCCTAAGGTGCAGCCAAACACACCAGGTTTGGGCAGAGTCATAGGTCAGTGGGCATTGGCCTTCACTTGTCCCCTTTTGGGGGGAGAGGGGTACAGACACCACGGGAGCAGCAGTGGCGGGAGCCCTGTGGGATGATACCCAGTGGGCAGTCCCCTCTGGTCTGGTCAGAAGGACCCTCCCGGAGCTGAGCCCTTGGCGCTCACCCGAGTGTCCCGGCCCCCACACGTGGCCGGCTCTTACCCAGGACGGTGAGGCGTGCAGGGCGGGACCGGATGGCGGCCTGGATGGCCTGGCACTCGTACACAGCATCGTCTTGCAGCTCTGCCCGTAGGATCTTCAGGTGGTGCTCCCCTGACAGGTGGTTCCCTACCACCAGGTACTGCGGGTAACCTGTGGAGACAGAAGGCAGGTCAGGGGAGCTGGGGCGGGGTGGAGGAGATGCTCACGATGAACACGCAGAGCCATGGGAGACCCGAGCAGGGGCCGCTCGCGGACACTGGCTGAGCAGGTGGATTGCTCAGGGCCCTGATCTCAGTGTAAGGAGCACAAAAGCAACAGTTTTCCCAGGGCATCAGGGCAGTGTGTGTGTGTGTGCGTGCGTGTGTGTGTGTGTGTGTGTCTACGTGTGTATATTAGAGAGGAAAGGAGAGAGAGGAGATGAAAATGCTACGTGTGGACAGACACAGCTGGGTTATCACTCTGGAAAGTAGCCTGCTCCGCACTGTGGTCTACCGAGTAGATGTGCATTTTGATAAGGATACACATGGAGACAGAGAGAGACAGAGAGAGACACACACACAGAGAGAGAGGCACGGGCTGAGAATCACAGAGAGAAGACAGAATAAGCGAGAGAAGGAAGAAAAAAAGAGGCATATCTGAAAAAGGATTGAGAGTGAATTTGGGGGAAGTTTGCTTCAGGAAGTAGGAATCTGAGCCACCCTCCAGTATCTAGGAACCTCTGGTCACTTTCATCTCTAAATGGCCCTTTTCTAGTCATTCCTCCCGCCTAGCCTTAAGCCCCAGAGTCTGATTAAGCACTTACGAGGCTCTAAGGACACTTAGGAATTTGGGGCCCCTTATACCATTGGCGATGAATAATAGATAAATAAAAGTTTGAGAATGATAAATCATTTATCAGCCTTCCTGCTGCTGTGTAGGTTGAATATAAATGCCCACATTAAGTGCTGGCTGGCCAGGTTGGGCAGATCCTCTCTGTCCCGGGCTTGGGTCCTAAACCTCCTTGGTTTGTCTCAGCAGGATCCACTTCCCATCCACCCTTCAGCGGAGCTCTGCCCCCGTCATCCCGTACAGTGTGGATTTACAACTGGACCCCTGCCCCCTTCCCAGCGCTTTCTCCCTGCCCTCCACCCTGCCCATCGTCCCGCAGCTCCAAACTGCTCCTCTTTCTGAAAGACCTTCACCAGGACAGTGAGCGTTGTCAGAAATGTGCCATAGGAGGAGGAGATTGGACACGTTTGGGCTTTTAAAGAGAAGACGAGGGCTTAAGCAAGTGAGAGAGAGATGGAAACAGAGACACACGAGAGACATATTTCAAAGTCCCTTCGCAGGGGTTAGGCGTGTTCATTAGCCCCCAAGGACAGCACTAGCACTAAGGGCAGAATTAACATGAGAAGTACTTTTGAGTGTTCTTAACTATTTGAGGTGTTAGCAAGGATCTGGGCTGCCAGAGATGGTAGTGAGGTCCCCATCACCAGCTGTATTCAAGCAGAGGTCAGATGATTGTCTCTCAGGGGTGCTGCAGAGGGGATTTCTACGCCGGATGAAAGATTGGACTAGTTGAGCTCTAAGGTCCTTTCCATCTCCATAAGATAAGGGTCTTCAGAGGTGGGGCAGGGCGGACGTACCAAGGGCCAGCAGCACCTGTTCCTAGTTGGCGGCAGTAGCTGCAATGTTTGTGGGTGCTTCCTGTGCCACTGAGCCCTTCAGGCTCATGTCCTCATGGCGACCACCGTCTGCATCATGCAATCAAATGGCCCTGCCCTCCACAGCTATGCAGGTCTGGCCAGAAATGCTCACAAGGTGACAGCTGTACCCTGAGAGCACTGCCTCCCCTCCTGCCCACCTTTCCTGCCCTCTGTTGGGCTTTGCGAAGGACCTCGGGTAAGTGAAGCCACCTTCCCCACCCAGGGCCAGGCGAGGGGCTGTAAGTGGGTTCCAGTGCAGTCCTCTCCCCGCTGCTGCCGCCCTCGGTGTAGCTGGCTCGCAGCCCCTCCCCGCTCCCGCCCCCAGCCCAGCCGCTGGATCCTGTTGTCCTGTGATTAGTCCCTGGTCTCCTGCAGGCATCTTGGCTGGGGCTTGTGTTTTTGTTGTCTTGCAAGCTATCAGCAGCAGGATTTCGCTCTCATGAGCTGCTGAAAACATCAGTGATGGGTTTGTTTGTATTTGCCTAATTAGGCAGCGAGCTGTGATGCTATCCCAAGGACTGGCAGCATCTGCAGAAAACGTAGACTCAGAAGCATAGATTCTGAGGAAGTTCTAGCCCCTTCCACAGTATCATTACTCTCTCTTGCTACTCCCAAAGGAGGAAGAATTATTTAGAGTCTGGGTTCTACAGTCAAATTGCCTGGGTTCAAATGCCAGCTCTGTCACTTCCTAGGTCTGTTGTGTTGGGTGAGTTACTTTAACTTCTTTGTGCCTCAGTTTCCTTACTGGTAAAGTGGGGACAATACTAGAACCTCACAGGGTTATGGTGAAGATTGAATAGAATAACCTATGTAAAGTGCCTGACGCATAGTAGTCTATAAGTGCCAACTTAAATAAAAACAACAGTGAGGTAGGGTGGCCTAAGAGGTTTCCATCTTTAGGAGGGCGGGCAGGCAGGGTGTGTGAGCCCTTCAGGGTCAGCGGTCAGAGCCCCACGCACAGGGATGGGTTGTATAACTGAGTCAGTTTCCTTCTCAACCGTGGCTTTGTTTACCTGTCAAACAAAGGGGAAATCCTTCTTTTCTCCCTCTGGATCATCGTAGATCTTTGCAATAATGTCTGAGTACTTGAGCTTCTTAGAAGAAAAATGTTCTATCGATATGAGGGAGTGCATTTATAAATCATTTTCTTTGGCTGTTTTTTCCAGTCTTGGTGTCCAGAAAGACATTTAGGTCTTCAGTGAGGGTATCATTCCCGGTAGATCGAGTGGGGCCACATGGTTAAAATGGAAGAGGACAGAGATGCAACCGGCCTCAGTTTCCCTGTAGGACCACTTGCAGGATTAAGTGCTCTACAAATACTTGCTGAATTGAGTTGCATTCTGTTATGCTGACTTTCCGATCAGACAAGCAAGCAGTGTTTATTGAGCATGTGAGTATCCATCATTATTGTCATAATGCTATTTTTTGGACAAGTGATCAAATACAGGGCAAGTATTTTATGAGGAATTTGAGTTTATTGGCTCTGCACGGAGAGGGCCAACCTTCTTTCTATAAATGGAGTCAAGCTGGAGAGGAAGCAGACCCCAGTTCTTGAAGGGCCATAGTCCTTCAGTGCCAAGCAGGCCCCAGTCCGGGATCCCAGAAAGCCACTTATGGAACTGGATGGCAGAGGGCCAATTACCCATGCCCTGATGACCACTCTGTGAACCATCCCTGGTGACCTGGGGCCTCCTCTTGCTACTTACCTAACAAGACCCTATTCCTGCCCAAAGGTTGAAAACCACCGATCAGGAGGAACCCAGACAGGCTCCTTAACTAGCGCCAATGCTGGGCCAACCTCAGAGCCGTCCAGTGCGTGAGCAAATCTAGTTGGGAAGGTCGTATTGTTCCCTCAGTTTCTCTAGGGTAGGGGAGTTCAGAGTCTCTGAAATTGGCTGGTTCCCATAATACTTAAAGTTTATGGCAGCACAGTATATTTTGGAGATATTACTGTATATTTTACCCATGCTCAGCTGGGCTGCAGCGTTCAAACCCTGTGACTGCTATTGACCATGTTTCAATATACACTTTTGGTAAGACATATCTCACATTTTAAAATATTAATTTCCCAACCATCATGTTCATGAGTGCACTTCGTTTTTTATTTCCCTGCAGTTGTACGCCATGGGAGGGGCAAAGCGACTTCTCAGTTGAATACTTATTTTTCTCTCCTCCTCCACCCTCAGCTATTCCCAAATCACAGGGGAATGACACCCAGATCCCTCCTTCTAGATTTTATGTCAAGCTTGCAAACAGCCACGTGTCTGCCCGCCCCAGAGCAGAGTGAATCAGGCGGATGCTTCCATTCTTTTTTCTCTGGGGGGGACAGGATGGATGGGAAATGCACCTCTGTGGGCTTACAGGGTTGCCATTCAGGATCATGAACAAGAGCCGGGCACCAACCAGTGAGTTCACATGCCAGCCATCCCATCGACGGCCACCCCCACCCCATCCCCAGGGCAGCTTTGCTGAACACCAGCCCGGGTGGGCTGAACAAGGTTTGCAATTTATTTCAAACACTTCTTGTCTTATCTTTTCTTCCCATCACATGATGACCCCTAATATCAACCAGGTTTCTTTGTCAGTTTTCAGTTTACTTGGCTGCCTTTGATGGGTGGAAAGCCTGGGAGAACTAGGTTGTCACTTCCATTTCCTTAATGGTCATGCTTTGATAAATGGGGTATACATTTTGGGCCAAGAAACAGGAATACTTGATTTCTGGAAATCAGACTTTATATGAATCATGTTAAACTTTGGAGTAGACTCTCCAGGACAATGCTGTGTTAGGGTTAGGACCGACCAGCAGGGGCAGAGGGCTCACCTGTGGTTCATTACTTGTAGTCAGAGGGCCCTCAAAGTCCCAGGGATTCTGTTCTGCTCAGGGCTTGCCTCGCCTCACTCTGCCCAGGGTAGCTGCAGTGAAAGCTGGAGATTTGATCCCCAAAGCCTGTGAAGATGTGTGTTCCCTGGGGGGTGACGGGTGTGTAAGGTGGTGACAGGCTTCAGGCCCCCAGGGGAGCCCTGGAGGTACTCACTTGAGAGGTCCCTGCCCACACCCAGAGCCAAGCCGTCTTTGATCCACAGAACGAAGCCATCGTATTCAGGGATGGCGCACAGCAGCGTCACTGGTTGTCCGGACACCACCACCTGGTCCTGGGGCTGCTGGCTGAAGGAGTAGACCTGGCCTAGGAAGGAGACAAGCACAGCGATCAGTTACGTGGTAGGAAGGCTCCCGCATTATGGAAGCAGAGCTGGGGCTGGCCCGGGAGCCCAGGCCTCCCCAGAGTGCCTCGCTTCCTGCTGGGGGTTCGGCAGCAGCCTCCCCAGTCTCTGCCCCAGCTTTATCACTTTTTTTCAGGGCCTGGCTCCCAGCTCCAGCCACTCTGCTCACCAGTCACTAACAGCCCCGCTGGGGTCTATCCGCACTGCAGCTCCGGGCAGGCCATCCCCAGCCATCCTGGCACACACTGCTGCCCTTCTCCCTGCGCAGACTCCTGCTTAGCTATACTTGCTGGGTGCATCCTTCCACCACGGGGTGGGGGCAGGAGAGAGACGCTTCGAGAGGGCAGCGGGGGTGGGGAGTGGTGTGGTTTTGGTTAATCCTGAGTACCCGAGAATCCTATTATTGTTTAAGTGGCTCCTAGGATGGGTCTAGGGCCATCCCGGCAGGCGTGGGTGTTGGTGCAGCATGACAGAGTCATGCCTCACCACGTCCTCCCTGTCCCTTTCTTTTCTGCAGCAGATCTTGCTCCAGTCTCACTATCGCTTGGGAGAAAGTCATCAGTGGGCCCCACACCTCCCCAGCCACACCTCAAAACAAGACAGCACGGAACTGTTGAAGCCAGTCGGCTCATATTTTCTTAAACAAACACACCTACCGTGCGTACAGGAAGTCAAGGTTTTAAAATATTAGCTCATCAATATTTACATCCTTATAATAACCTAAAAATAGTAGGCATTGTTTTTATGCCCATTTTCCAGATGAGGAAATGAGGCTCAGGGAGGTGAAAAATAGTAAAAGGAACTGCTCTTGTTGATTAGTTACCAAATACCAAGAACTGTGTATGTTCCCCTCTAGTTCTTAGAGCAACGATGCTCATACGGAGTATTATGAACCCCATTTGGGAAATGGGGGCTTAAGGCGTTCACTGAATTGTCCAGGGAATTGTCTGGACAGTTGCTGAAGAGGGGTGATTTGATCTGTTTCCTGGGAAGCCACAGCTGAATGGACAATGGGCCGTTGACATGCAGTGAGCATCTGGCCCACAGTGCGACCAGTGCTTTACACATCCCCTTGTGTAATCCATTTACGTACACTTCAGGGCAGAAATATCTCCATTGTACAACAAAGAAATCAGGATCAGAGAGGCACAGTAACCTGCCGAGGTCACACAGCTAATGAGCATGGAACTGGGGTTTGAGTTGGGTCCATCTGAGTTCTGAACCCTCTCTCCCACCCTGCTCTGCAGCTACAGAGGTAACTGAGGAAAAACTGGACCTGGGGGGCCAGCTGTTGTCACAGCCTCACCTTTCCCACCTGGGAGAGTCAGGGATGGCCACAGAGGTCCTGGGCACTGGCTGTTCCTCATCATGGGGACATAAAGCCCCAGGCTCAGACCACATGTAGGACTGACTCTCAGCAGCAGATGGCCCCCTAAAAGGAGTAATTGGTGTGTAGAAACCGAGGGGAGCTGCGGTGGCTGCAGTGTGTGCTGGGGGCTGCAGGAGGAGAGCTGCAGACCACATCAGAGGGTTTGTGGCAGGCAGGTAGCCGAGTTCACAACCTGATGAGATCTTGGCAGGGTCTCTGAGGAGTCTCATTAAAAATCAAATTGGCCTTGAATTGTGGGAGTAACGCTTTTTCTTCTGATCTGAGCTTTACAAATTAGATTTCATAAGACATTTTAATCAGCTGTGTGTGGTGAGGTTTTTTTTTTTCTTTCTCTGACTCTTCAAGTTCTCTGTTGTAATTAGACTGTTTCTGGCACCAAAACAGGAGAGAAAAGGAGGGAAGAGATGAGAGAGGAGACAGGGGAGAGGAGGGAGAGAATGAAGAAAGAGCAGAGGAATGAGGAGCAGGAGAGAAAAGAAGGAGAGGGAGAGACAGAGGAGAAGAGGAGGACGGGAGGAGGAAGAAGAGGAGGAGGAGGATGGGGAGGAGGGAGAAGAGGAGGAGGAGGGAGAAGAGGAGGACGATGATGGGGAGGAGGGAGAAGAGGAGGAGGAGGATGGGGAGGAGGGAGAAGAGGAGGAGGAGGGAGAAGAGGAGGAGGCTGGGGAAGAGGGAGAAGAGGGGGAGGAGGATGTGGAGGAGGGAGAAGAGGAGGATGGGGAGGAGGGAGAAGAGGGGGAGGAGGATGTGGAGGAGGGAGGAGGATAGAGAGGAGGGAGAAGAGGAGGACGATGATGGGGAGGAGGATGGGGAGGAGGGAGAAGAGGGGGAGGAGGATGAGGAGGAGGGAGAAGAGGAGGAGGAAGATGCGGAAGAGGGAGAAGAGGAGGAGGAGGATGGGGAGGAGGAGGATGGGGAGGAGGAGGATGGGGAGGCGCGAGAAGAGGAGGAGGAGGATGTGGAGGAGGGAAAAGAGGAGGATGGAGAGGAGGGAAAAGAGGGGGACGATGATGGGGAGGAGGGAGAAGAGGAGGAGGATGGGGGGGCAGCTGGGAGGCGCAAAGCCCTGGAGAGGGTGTGGGGAGAGAGGACTCCTTACCCAGGCTCTTTTCTCCTTACGCTAATGATGATTTCACAGTGAATTCTTTTATCTCAAAATCTTTCTTGCAAGGAGGACAGAGTCAAGGCAGCCGCAGTAGCCGTCAAAGATTGTGCTATCAGAGAGAATTATCAGGCTGTCAGCAGCAAGCTGATGGGGTTATAATGAGAAGGCCCTAAACGAAGTGGTGCCTGAGCCCTCCGAAATGTCAACTATTAGGGAGCATCTGCAGTGGGTAACTGCCCCCCAGAATCCCGCCGACTCCAAATCCTGCTTCCTCTTGGTGGAAAGGGCAGGAGGTACTAGGCGAGGACACCTGGGGAGCTGGGCCCCGGAGGCATCCCAAGGGGGCAAGCCTGAGTCCTGGACTAGTTGGTGCCTTGAAGAGGAGGAGGGGGCTGTCACCATGGAAACCAGGCCCCGCAGGAAGATGGGGCTGGGCAGAGGGCTGGGTGGAAGTAGGTCACAGCACCACTTTGGAGGGTCTGAGAGCTGAGGAGTTGGGGACAGGCACAAGACCCCCAGAATAAAACCTGGGGCCCACAGGAAAGGAGCCTGAAGGGATGGGGCAGAGCAGGAGAGGGCCTCGAGTGGAGGGGAGTCCCCTGATGGGATCCACGCTGGCCTGGAGGGCAGCAGTGTGGCAGCTTTCTGGGGGCTCCCATCCCATGCTTGCCCGTTTGCACCTGCTTGGCTTTTCTGCAGAAAGAGTGTTTCTGCGGGGAGGTGGGTACACAGGATAGTCTCAAAAACAGCACCGGAAGAACACGTTTTGCAAATTATTCTTTGGAGGGGGAAGAGTTGACAATCTAATTGACAATTTTACTTTACAGTCTAATTTTAATTTTTAAAAAAAAATTTTTTTTATTTTTATTTTTTTTCCTTTTTTTCTTTTTTACTGACCGGTAACGGGATCGCAACCCTCGGTGTCGTGCCCGCACCGCGCTCAGCCAGTGAGCGGGAAATGGGATCCGAACCCTCGGCGGGAGCGCTGCCACACTCCCAAGCGGCACACTCTCCAGTGCGCCACTGGGCTGGCCCCTAATTTTAATTTTTGTGTATTATGTGTAAGCCACTGAAATTACTTTTTTTTCTTTTAGATCAATGAAGATGCTTTTCCAGTGGATCTTACACTGAGTGTTCCTGAGCACGTAGTGCGGATGAACGCTGAGGAGCTGCAGACGAACAGGACGGGGAGGCCAGGGACCCAGCCGCTCTTCACCAGTGGGACACACCTTGAGGCCTCTCCTTTGGGCTCAAGAGTCCCTGGAGTGCAGTTTGCGTGACACAGAAGTGGGTTATCACTGAGAGAATGAATGCCCCCCGCCCATTCCCTTACTACCCGTTTTCTTTTCCCCATTATCTTTCCTACTCTAAAAAAGTGAACTGCGAAGGAGCCTGGGATCATTTTATCTCTACCCCCCTGGGTGTTATCTGATGTAAACAGCAAGCTCCTCAAGAACACTGGTTTCTTCCACACACGTGGATTGACACCTGCTGCAAGGCAGGTGCTGTGTTGTCTCGTGAGAAACAGGTGAGTGGCCCTGGCCCGCCTCCAGGGGCTGACGTCCGTGCTGCCCACGGCCGGGCATCTCTGGTTGAGCACAGTGGAGGTCCTGCCGTCAGTGTAGACCCAACACGCCCCTCTCCACCCCCTCAGTTTCCCATGTCACCTGCCGATGTTGCCCACGTGTGAAGCCAAGCAGGCAGGGCGATCTCCCCTTCTCGTGCTTTATTTCTGCTCTGTCACCGTCGCCGCATCTGGCCAGCCTTTCTGCACAGTCTCTCTCAGCTTCCCCCCCCTATTCTCCATTTCTACTGCTGCAGCCCTCATGGTCTCAGCCTGGGTCCTTTCAGCAGAGTCCGAGTGCTTTCTTTAGCTAATCCATGGCATGTGCTGCCCTGGCTCTTTCTTCTGAAATCACTACTTTTCTAATGTTTCCCACCTTTTCAAGGGTGGAGCTCTGCTGGCTCTCTGCCGTTCATGGGACAGCACCCGACCTCCCATCCTGTGTCTCTGAAGGCTGACTCCCCTTCTCCCTGTGCCCAACTCCCCCATGTTTGGTGGCTACACAACAACGTTTCTGCTCGCTGCCAGGAAGATGGGTCCCGGCCCAGGAAGGGAGGGGCCCGGCAGAACTGGGGTCCTGGGGACTATGAGACACAGCCATGTCAGGCCCCTGAGATGACTGCCCCAGTCTGCGTGTCTCCCCTGCATGCCTGCTGTGGCTTGGGCGGGCCAAGAGCGTGCTGTACCACTATCCCACCAGACGTTTATAACGCTGAGGCCAGGGAGGGTGGGCTGAGAGGAGAGTGGCACAGTGGGGATTCGAGTCGGGGTCTGATGACCCCCTGTGCAGTGCTCTGTCCCTACACAGGTAGAAGAAGCAGGGGCGGGAGGTGGAGGTGGAGGAGCAGGTGTGGCCTTGTGGAGCCTTCCCTCCAAACTGACTGGGGAGGACAGAGAAGAGTGG